AGACAAATTATAAATACAATCAACAAGCAGATTTAAATCTTGATTTCTTTCTTATCAAGAGACAAACATCTTTATAGGTTTCTAAGTCCCCTATTGTGGGGGAGATGGGCGGCAGAGAAATCCAATAAAATGAATGAATGAATGAATGAATGAATGAATGAATGAATGAATGAATGAATGAATGAATCTGGATTTTTTTTTAATAGCATTGAACAGCTTGCAAAGTTCTGTCTCATGGCATCCTGAATAATTGTTTGGTGCCAGGTTTCTATCTGAAAGCCATTTTTAGAACTTCATGGCTGAACTATTCTTTACAGCTTAGAGTTGTTACAGGTAGTCTTCCCTTAATGACTGTTCATTTAATGACCGTTCAAAGTTACAACGGCGTGAAAAAGTGACTTATGACCAGTACTTGAAGTAATGACTATCACAATGCTCCTGCAGTCAATGATTGTGATCTGGGTGCTTAGCAACCAGATTGTATTTATGATGGTTGCAGAATCCCAGGGTCACATGATTGCCATTTTCAACCTTTCCAGCCAACTTCTGGCAAGCAAAATCAACAGGGAACTGCATGATTCACTTAATGACCACACAATACACTTAATGAGCACTTGATTCACTTAATGACTGCAGTGATTCACTTCGCGACTGCTGCAAAAAAGGTCGTAAAATCAGGTCCAGTCATGTGATGATTTACTTAATGTCCATATCACTTAGTGACCTAAATTCTGGTCCCCATTGTGGTCATTAAGTGAGGACTACCTGTATGTCTATTCTCTCTATTATACCTACCAAATCCTTTTCCTCTTAAAAAAAAAAAACTGCTATAGGAAACCAGGGCCTATTCACATATCTATGAACAGATTAGGCTGTGGACCAAGAAAAGAAAGTAGTTCTGTGAGGTAATGCTGAGAATTGTTCCCTCCTCTTCAAAGCAATATTCTACATGCAAACATTACAGAAACTCAATATCCTTTCCCCATACCACAGTGAAAATGCTACACGTTTTGTACAATTAAGTAACTCTGACACCTATACAAAGGAAACCATCCTGACATTGGGCAGTTAGTGAAAACATCATACAGTGGTACCTCGGGTCACGAACGCTTCTGTTCACAAACAATTCGGTTCACGAACAGCACCGTTCGCAAAATTTTGCTTCCATTTGCGAACTCCGCATTGGGTGACGAACAGGACCTGCGGCCATTTTCCCTGCTATGACACATGGTCGTGGCTTCCTGTAGGGAGGGGGATCCAAACAATAACTGCCTCCCCACCCACCTTCCTGTCCTCCACGCCAGAAGTCACTTCGAGCAAGGTTAGTGTTCTCTCTCTTTGTACTGTACTTTGTTTCATATTTTTGTGGTTTAAAAAAAAAATACATACGGTTCAGAACGGATTAACCATATTTACATTGAACCTTATTGGGAAATTTGATTCGGGTCACGACCAATTCAGGTCGCGACCAGTCGTGGAACAAATTAAATTTGTGACCCGAGCTACCACTGTACTTCCAGCTGAAAAGTTATAGCTGCAATTGAAAAGCCACTGGTTCAATCTATGTCAGCTTCAGCTCCTGATATTAGGGTTCTGTTTGCTTCCTTAACAGCTCAATACCATGGCAGAAAAGATTGGTAGAGGCTGAAGCCACGTAAGGTGTCAGAGTGGGACTTTATGTCAACCTTTCACTACTGCAGAGAAGAGATGAAGCGACGTCTTCCACTTCCCTTAAGTCACCCATGTGGTGCAATATAATGGGGCATAACATCCAGTGAACCTGCAAACTTCTGCCTCCTTGCAATTCATGCAGTTGTCCTCTATTTTGACTTAGCTGCAAGACAGCCTCAAGATCTTCTAAGCCAGGGTTCTTCCACCTCAGCAACTTTAAGAGGGAATTCTGGGAGTTGAAGTCCACCCCTCTTAAAGTTGCTGAGGTGGAGGAACCCTGTTCTAAGCGACCATTACTTCCATTAACAAACGAAATGAAGACTGATAAATCCATAGATAACAAGGGGATGCTGACCAATTTATTAGGGCCTCTGGTTCCACAATGAGGAAGCTGTTCAGTCTTTGGGAGGCCACAAGACTCACCTTCAGGCTGGAACAGGGGGATGTGAAGGGGCGGCGCCTCCAACTTTACAGCAGCAACCTAGAAAAATGAAATGGTTTTTCAGATTAGCCATGCCCACTGAATAACCGGAGAATGCTGGGCGAACTGAATTCTCAAAAGCGGAGTCACTTTCAGCTGAGCAAATCCAAGGCTGCAGAGGCGATGGACAGACTGAAAACCAGTCGCAAAGCCGCGAGGGAGAAAAATGTCAAGAGGAGGAGAGGAACCCATGGAGAGGCAAGAAGGTCCCGGCTTGGGGCAGGGGAAGCTGGGCCTGACACACCGGAAAGACCCGATGGGGGGAAAGGCGCCTCCCCGACTGATTCCAGCAGCACTGTGGGCAGGCAGAAGTTCAACAGGGCTGCTTCACGTCAACTTAATGCCCGCTCTCAGGCCTTTCTTATAAAGCACCAGGAAACACGAAGGCTGCATTAAATATAATAAATTAATAAATAATAATAAATAATAATAAATATAATAAATAAAATACATTTCTTTATCCAGTATTTAAATAAAAGTATGGCACCATCACCTCAGTGTGACTGAGGGGCTGCACGTCAAACTATAAGTCACACTGTGACCAGCTGTGAGCTGAGGGCATATAATGGCCCAATATCTGATTTTTTTTATATAAATGATGCTGCGCTTCAATGGTTAGATGGCCCAGACGTTGGTATTTGAATTTAGATCTTTTTAATATTCATATTTTAAGGTGCTTTTAACTTAGGCTAAATGTTAGTATTTAGTATAAGTCCACGTATGAGATGCCATACGCTAAATATATAAATAAATATCCGGCTTTTAGCCCCCTGAAATGACGTCAGACCCGTGAGAAACTTCTCCGTAATGACGGCAACGGCCGCCACTCTTTTAAAAAAAAAAAGACATTGAAAATCCAGGCAAGTTAGGCGACTATAAAGCTCCTCCTCCGCGTTAAACCAGGAATTCGTCTTACCTTTTTGTGTATTTTCTCCTGCCAGCTCCCGGCCAAGCAGCTCCCTCTCCCCCGGCCTTACCGGAAATAGGCAGCGGCCGCCATCTTGAAACAGAAAGGATTCTGGGCGTGACGGCATCCCACGCTTGTGACGTAGCCGCCAGACCTTCCTCTTCGCATGTCTTCCATAGAGTCTCGCACCCTCCTAGACCACTTCCGCCCTCCGGGCAATCTTCCCTTTATTTTCAGCGAGGCTGTAGAGATGAGAGGCCTAGAGCGCCTAGCCACCGACCTGAGCGAGCCCGCCTCCCTCCGCACGCCGGATTTCCTTCCTTTGAAGTACTGACACGTCCTGAACGAAAGGGCTTAGCCCCGCCCACTCGGCACCCCCCTCAGCGGCGTCTGAAGGAGGACGCCAGGAGCTAAATGCTACGAAGGGGGCGTGGCGCCGGGGCCAGGGGAAGGCACGCGAGGGGGCGGGGTCTGACA